CCCCAAAACCCCAAAACCCCAAAACCCCAAAACCCCAAAACCCCGGTTCGAGATATAATAATTGAATTAAATAATAAGAAATATGGAAGAGATTAACGCAGTTGAGTTGTTAAGAGAGGAACTTAAAGGCACCTCACCCCACCTGTTCGAAGTAGATGAAGTCCACCTTAAAGTCAACGCTATCCACAGATTGAAGACCGTACTCTTGTCCATTTCTCAAGACGAAATTAAGTCAGACCTGTTTCCTTTCCTCCAAGATCTTATTGATACTGAGTGAGACGAAGTCTTGTTTGCCATTGCCGAGGAATTAGGAAAGCCCGATATTTGCAGTTTGTGTGACTCCGCCAACCTCCTTGAAGCTCTCGAGAAACTCGCCCAGAGCGACGAAACCGTTGTCAGGGAGCAAGCAGCCAATTCGTTGAGGAATGTGTGCAAGGCCATGAGCGAGTCAGATGTGCAGGATCTATTCATTCCATTGGTATTCAGGCTTTCAAGCAGTGATTGGTTCCCTGGAAGAGTTTCAGCATGCAGCTTGTTTTCGAAAGCATACGAAAGTGCAGGATCTCACAAAGAAGACCTTAGGAAGAAATTCTTAGAACTGTGAAACGAGGATACTCCAATTGTTCGGAGAGCCGGATCCAAGAGGCTCGGAGAGTTTGCTACTCATGTTGAAAAGCCATATGTGATCAAAGAGATCTTCCCCATTCTGAAGAAGCTGGCCAAAGACGAGCAAGACCAAATCAGAATATTGTGCATCGAGAGTCTGATCCCAATTGCGAAGTACCTGACTAAGGAAGAAAACCAGCTCCACGCTATAGGTCCCCTCTTGGTCACCAGTGAAGACAAAAACTGGAAAGTCAGACTCACATTTGCAAAGAACTTTGCTGAGCTTGCTGATGCGTTCGGTAAAGAGATCACCGACTCGAACCTCATCCAGACATTCTCGATGTTCCTCAACGACTCCGAAGGTGAAGTCAAAGATGCTGCCATTCACAGTCTCTCGAAGTGTCTCAAGACAATATCTCCAGAGAGAGTGATCAGCTATGTGCTTCCGAACATCCAGTCGATGTACGTGGACGCGTCTTCGTCGTTCAAGGGCGGCCTGGCCAACACTCTGTGTGCAATGGCTCCAATCGTTGGGTCGGAAGTGGCCAATTCAAGAGTGCTTCCGATCCTTCTGGAACTTATCAAAGACGACGATGCAGATGTCAGACTCAATGTCGCCAAAGGAATGATCAAGCTTGCTGAAGTTTTGGGCACAGACTTGCTTAGTGAAGGAGTCATTGCTTCGCTCTCTCAGATGACCAAGGACACCCAGTGGAGAGTGAGGTCGTCTGTCTACGACTTGTTGTCGGACTTGGGAGCAGCTCTAGGGAAAGAGACATTCCAGAGGAACCTTAAAGACATATTCTTCGGGTTCTTGACAGACACTGCAGCTTCAGTGAGAAACCAAGGAATCTTAAAGCTCGGTGATTTAGCAGAGTCATTTGGCAGCGACTGGGTGATCGATGAAATCATTCCAAAGCTTAACGACATCTACGATCAAGACAAGCAAGGATACTTATATAGAATGTGTGTAATCAACGCCGGCATCGAAATTTCAAGGGGCTTGTCAAAGAGTCAGATCAACGCTCACATTGTACCCATAATGCTGAAAGCCTGCTCTGACTCAGTGGCCAACGTGCGCATCACTGTATGCAAAGCAATCAAGAAGCTTGTATCAACACCAGAAGGAGCAGCTGTGGGAGCCAATTTCAAATCAACACTATCTGATTTAGTTAACGACTCCGACAAAGATGTCAAGCATTTTGCTACTGTTGCAGAAGAGGCCATCTAATCATTTACTGAATAATAATATCCTGAGATTTATTTCTTCATCAATTGGTGGTTTACTATTTGGGGTTTTGGGGTTTTGGGGTTTTGGGGTTTTGGGGTTTTGGGGTTTTGGGGTTTTGGGG